GATAATATGACAGACATGAAAGACGATATGACAGATATGAAAGATAATATGACAGACATGAAGTCAGGAATGAAACAAACAGCTCAAGAAATAAAAGAAACCCAGAGACAGATGTCTGATAAGATGAACGAAACGACAGAAGAGCTGAGCAAGAAGATAGAAGAACAGGGAACAGCTTTCAGAGATGAAGTCCAGAGTACGACTAGCAGGTTGAAGGATGAAATGGCAGCAAAAATGGATGAGCAAGCAGAAGGAATGACTGAAAAAATAAAGACAGACATCCAAGAGGCAATAATAGCAAATATTGTAGCACCTCCAGAACCAGAACAGGAAACAATTTTAACCTACACTGCCTTTGAAGTGGATCAGAACCCACACGACCAAGAATCCTCTCACTGTATACTATCAAGTTAGTTTTATTTTAAACAACATACATGTACATGTACATGTACATTTCTTGCCGGCCAGTGACAACTCTATAGCTACATTGTAATTGAGTGTAAGTTTGGTTTATCAACAACCCATTCAGAATGCATCATTTTTCATAAATAACAAATTTATTAATGCTATTATTAATTAATAACTATTATTAACTACTAAGCATTAACATTTATTGCTGTTGTTTAGGTTCTAGTTCTAATTGTGGTAATGATACATACCCTACACAAGAAACCCACGACAGTAAGTTTTTTAAATTACGGAGGACATGTATAGTATTAATTTACTACTAGACAATGATGATGAAGGAGAATTCGTTTACAATAAAAAGAAATAGGAACTCAATTATACATGTAATTTTAGATACACACATACAACAATTAGTAGTATATTAGGAGTAATTTTAGGAGCATATTTTAGGAGTATATTTTTAGAGTACAGTTTTAGTACAATTTATATTTTTAGTACAATTTTAGGAGTATATTTATGCACCCAGTTACAGTATTACAATTTATACATGTACAGTACATGTACTTACTCGTTATTCTTCAATGGTGATAGTGACATTCTCAATCCTCTGGTCCTCCCAGCAGTGACTCCATTAGTGTTAGCATGCATTGACGAGGGGAGGGAGTGTCTCCTATGCATGCCACGCCCATGATCTAGTTATTAATAGTTAATTTAACCACACCCACACACAATCACTAACCAACGTGAGAACAAGTTGTGAAAAACTTGTCAAAAACGACGAAATTATTGTTCTAAAATAATTATAAATTAAAACATAAATATTAAGAAAAGATCTCACTTGTTTCACATAGCTACTCAACTGATAATGACGCTGCAAAAAACTAAGGAACTTTGACGAAGGTCTATCAATGGCGACTTCAAATGCACTTAGCCCCTCCTCCTAAAATAAGCCACGCCTACTAATTAATAGCTGGTAGAACGTGATTCACAAACCTGTAATACGTTCTCAAAAAGTTCCTTTCCATGTCCTCTCCTTTGTTGTGTCTCGTGTACATAAAAATCCATTATACATAATGGCTCCACTTCATGTAGTAGTGTCCTGTTGTCTGTTAGGAATAATCTCTTTCGTCCTGTTTTGATGAAGCCCAACACACTACCGTTACCACTAGAGGGAGAGAGAGAGAGAAGG